GCGAGTTGTTGTGTGAGTTGTTAAAACTTTAAATTGCATGATTTGTGTGCTTAATGTGCGTGAGTTTTGTGCTTAAGGTGAGTGAGTCTTGTTCATAAGATGTGTGAGTCTTATACTTAATGTGCCTGAGATTTTTGCTTGATGTGCGTTTGTGTAATGCTTAATCTGCGTGTGTGAAATGCCTAATGTGCGTGAGTCTTATGCTTAATGTGCGTCAGTGTCTACTTAGTGCGAGTTGTTATCTGAGTTGTTAAAACTTTAAATTGCATGATTTGTGTGCTTAATGTGCGTGAGTTTTGTGCATAAGGTGTGTGAGTCTTGATCCTAAGATGTGTGAGTTTTGTTCTTAATTTACTCGAGTGTTTATTTATTGTGAATTGTTGTTAAAACTTAAGGTATATGTATTTTTGTCGAAAGACACACCTATATTAATTGTACCAGTTAAGTTTGTTTTTTTATTTATTTACTTATTGATTTTTTTTACTTCATATCTGAATATTTTTGTAGGTATGAATTTGTTTTTATTTACTGATGATTAAGCTGAGGTCATTGAGGAAGGGTGAACATGTGGAAGCTGGTGTTCTGAATACTTGGGCTTTAATTCTAAATTACATGGAGATCTACACCTTTAAGTATCCTAACAAAAGAAGATTCTTTTTTCTCAACAACACCAGTTGTAAGTTATTTTATTATTGATTTACATTTTCATTCACATTAACAAATATCTTGGAGCACATACTGCATTACTGACAAGGTTATCATACTCCTGTAGGCATCTTCTATTGTTTATGTGTGTGTGTGTGTGTGTGTGTGTGTGTGTGTGCGCGTGCGTGTGTGTGTGTGTGTGTGTGTGTGTGTGTGTGTGTATATATATATATATATACACACACACACACACACACACACACACACACACATATATATATATATATATATAATCACACTCAAGTGCGAATGCTTCGCCCAGCCGCGAAATAGGAATGAACATCGAAGTGCAAGTAAAATGTATTACAAGTGCTGTAAAATGTATTATCGGTGCAAGTAAAAATTTACACTGAGCATCAATACTTAGTTGCACCTATAGTTCTAAGTAGTTGCACCTATAGTTCTAAGTAGTTGCACAAATAGTTATAAGTAGTTGCACCTAGGTGTATGGATGTTTGCGAGTGGTTTTCAGGGGTATTACTACCCGCTGAACTCAGATCAATGAATGTTAACAAGGCAAAATTACATGCACTTATAGGTGAAAGTAGGTGCACATATAGTTATAAGTAGTTGCACCTATAGTTATAAATAGTTGCACATATAGTTATAAGGACACCCAGGTCCATGAACATTTGCGGAAAGTGAATGCTAACAAGGCAAAATTACATGCACTTATAGGTGAAAGTAGGTGCACTTGTAAGAGATTTTACTTGCACTTCGATGTTCAATTATTTACGAAAACATTACCGCGTTTTTTTTTTAAGTTATTAGATCTGGACACATGTCGCGCGCTGATTCGTTCGCATTTCCCTCCTGAGCATTTATTCGCACCTGAGTGCATCCCTATATATATATATATATATATATGTACATATGTACATATATATGTATACATATGTAAATATATATGTATATGTATACATATGTACATATATATATATATATATATATATATATATATATATATATATATATATATATATATATATATATATATATATATATATATATATATATATGTATGTATATATATATACATATGTACATATATATATATATACATATGTACATATATATATATACATATGTACATATATATGTATACATATGTACATATATATGTATGTATATGTACATATATATGTATGTATATGTACATATATATGTATGTATATATACATACATATATATATATATATATATGGGCGGACCTACAGTGGGGGCAGCTGCCCTCACTCACCCCACCCCCACCCCATATATAACCCTTGTATGTATATGTGTATGTATATATAGTATAAGATTTAGTATAAGTAAAAGAAAACAGCTAGTGTTAATTAGAAGTAAGTCAACCTAGATGGTAGAGCAAGTGTGTCTTTTTACGGAAGGGCAAGGGTTCGACTCTCTCTTAAGTCGCCATTCCATGTTTTATGGCTATTTGAATAGCAGTGGCTCCAAGCCTCCAACACAATTAGGATTTATATGTAATTACTTTTAGGGAAAAGGGTCAAATAGTGAACTATAGGCAAAAGAGCAATTAGGCCCTTCAACTTTAAAAAGGTGCAATTAAGCCCTTCAACTTGTTATTTTGAGTCAAATAAGTCCAATAACAAGTTTTTTACCTGGAATAACCAGTCAAAAAATTCGGGCGACATTTCCGATCAAAAATCCGGCGACAACAAAATTAAAAAAAAAAACTGCCGGAGAAGACAACCGTTCGGTTGTCTTCTCCGGTGGAGAAGGCCTGGTCGCCTTCTCCATTGGAGAGGACGACCGGACTGGTCGTCCTCTCCAGTGGAGAAGGCGACCAGATCTAGCCGCCCTCTCCAGTGGAGAGGGCGACCGGACTGGGCGCCCTCTCCACTGGAAAGGGCGACCGGACTGGTCGTCCTCTCCAGTGGAGAAGGCAACCAGATCTGGCCGACCTCTCCAGTGGAGAGGGCAACCGGACTGGGCGCCCTCTCCAATGGAGAAGGCGACCAGGCCTTCTCCACCGGAGAAGACAACGGTTGTCTTCTCCGGCAGTTTTTTTTTTTTTTTTTTTTTTTTAAATTTTGTTGTCGGCGGATTTTTGGTCAGAAATTTCGCCGGAATATTTTGACCGGTTATTCCAGGTAAAAAACCTGTTATTGGACTTATTTGACTCAAAATAATAAGTTGAAGGGTTTAATTGCATCTTTTTAAAGTTGAAGGGCCTAATTGCTCTTTTGCCTATAGTTCAAGGGTCTATTTGACCATTTTCCCTTACTTTTATATTAATAATAAAATGTGTACCCTTTCAAAAAAATAATAATAAAATATGTAATTTATAATGTATTTTCTATTAACAATAAGACGTGTAATTTATAATGTCTTTACTATTAGAATTATTTTATCAAATTAATTATGTATTTTTTTCGCTTATATCTAATAATATTTATGGTTAACTTCTTAACTGTTTCAACTTTTTTAAGCAATCCCTTTTGTTTTAATGTTTTGCCCCCACTGAACAAAATTTCTGGGTCCGCCACTGTACATATATACATACATACACATATATATATATATATATATATATATATATATATATATATATATATATATATATATATATATATATATATATATATATATATATATATATATATATATATATATATAGAATTGCACTCAAGTGCGAATGCTTCGCACAGGAGCGAAATAGGAATGGATTCTGTTCGTCCACGTGTCCAAGTCTAATGGTTGAGAAACACTGATTTTTTTAAAAAGCGCGGTTGCATTTTCGTAAATAATTGAACATCCAAGTGCAAGTAAAATGTATTACAAGTGCATGTAAATTATATTATAGGTTCAAGTAAAAATTTACACTAAGCATCAATACTAAGTGCACCTATAGTTCTAAGTAGTTGCACCTATAGTTCTAAGTAGTTGCACACATAGTTATAAGTAGTTGCACATAGGTGCATGAATGTTTGCGAGTGGTTTTCAGGGGTATTACTACCCGCTGAACTCAGATCAATGAATGTTAACAAGACAAAATTACATGCACTTATAGGTGAAAGTAGGTGCACCTATAGTTATAAGTAGTTGCACCTATAGTTATAAATAGTTGCACAGATAGTTATAAACACACCCAGGTGCATGAATGTTTGCGGGAAGTGAATGCTAATAAGGTGAAATTACATGCAATTATAGGTGAAAGTAGGTGCACTTGTAAGTAATTTTACTTGCACTTCGATGTTCAATTATTTACGAAAATGCCACCGCATTTTTTTTAAACTATTTGATCTGGACACGTGTCGCGCGCTGATTCGTTCGCATATTCCTTCCTGGGCACTTTTTCGCACCTGAGTGCATCCATATATATATATATATATATATATATATATATATATATATATATATATATATATATATATATATATCTACATATATTAAAGCAAAATAATAAGAGCAAAAAACTCCCGCCCAACAGCAACGGCGTCGTTTTGACATAGCCGAAATATTTATGGTATTTGCGTCGGAACACGAAAGGTTTGTGCAGTGTAATAGGTAAACTTTATAGAAAACCTACATTTTTAAAAATATCTACGGTAGATCACTCTCTAATCCAGTGGGATTAGAGAATGTATTTAATTCCATCACTTCCCCATATGGAACATTGAGCCCACTAACCCATACATATTCTCTAGGTATTAATTTCTAAGGAAATAGTACGAAAGGTCATCAGACCTTATATATACAGCACATATACAACAGAAAATATTCTACTGTCATTCTCATTCTTCTTCAGACCTTTCGTTATTTCACACAAAAGCTGCACCGGTCACTCTCATTCTTCTTCAGACCTACAAGAAGATGTTTATCCTTGCTAGCCAAATATCCCCAATGAACACCAGGCAGGCTCTTAGGCTACGGGTGGTGAGAGCATATTAGATTCCTGAGAGAAATGATCACACGAAGATTAGATCAAAAGAAATAGTTTTTCATGATGAAGAGGTAAATGCTATTTACAAATATATATTCAAATACATCAACAGGTTTAAGTCACAGGTTTCAGTTTTTACAGTTCCTATTTATGATATATATTTAGACAGTTCCTATTGATTTTATAGGGTTCCTTCCTTCATGCTCATGTACCCAAAGAATATGTGGAAAAGTACCTAAGCTATTTTTCTGAGGGTTCAGTTTACGCTATAAAGAATTTTTGTGTTATCATCAATTTTTATTCATACAAGACCAGTCCACAGAAGTAAATGATAAAATTCAATTATCAGACTACGGTCAAGGATTTAAAGAATGCAAAATTTCCGATGAAAATGTATCGTCTGAAGTCATTTAGAGATATCAAATCTAATGAAGGCCTTGATGAGAAACAACTCTTTGGTAATCAATTGATCTCTTATTTTCTAATTTTCTAATTAATTGATATTGTTACTATTAATTTGTACTCTAATAATGCACTATTCTGTAGATGTGATTGGTCGAATGATTGAGATTCACTGCCCACAGGAGAAACTGATTAATGGGAAGAACTCCAGGCTGATTGACTTCACCATTGAAGACACTGAGTATTTTTTTTTTTTATTCGTTTCCTTCTATTTCTACTCTATTTTTAGATTTTCTGTTCTTCTAATCTCTTATCTAACATTTTGCAGTGGTATACAATTGATGTGTACTTTGTGGGACGAACACGTAAGCAAGATCGAGGCATTCTACAATTCTACCACACAAGAGGCATTATTGGTGTTGATCCAATTTTGTAGGGCTAGGGTGTGTTTAAAAAGTAAGTAAATTAAAAGTTTTAGTTTCTGGCTAAGTTATATATATATATATATGTCCACATTTACCAATAATGGATTGTCTAATGTTTACTACCATAATTTCTAAAGGTGGGGATGTTAAGCTTTGTAGCTCCTATGATGTAACACAACTGCTGTTCAACCAGGAATCTCCACCATTTGAGGAGTTCAGAAAAAGGTTAGTCAATTAAATTTATTGCACTACCTATTAGATTGGTACCTAAGTCTTAGTGTTTTTTTTTTCACAGTATCAGCCATGAAAAGACTCCAATGCGAAGTATTATTTCGCAATCAAGTTTTAAGGAATGTAGCTCCTATTCAGCTTCCCTATCTGGTGATATTGAGGTCCGTACTATCAGTGAAATATACAGAGACAAGGAGGTAATATTTATTTAAAACATTTTAGTTATTACCTTAGTAGATATACTGTGATCTCTACAACTATAATCTGTGAAGATATCAATGCCAACTGCTTCATTTGTAATCTGCATTTAATAATATGCATGAGATTTGGAAAAAAAATATTTTAAAAATTAAAAGTTAATAGACTAATACTCTGAAATGTTATTTGGATTCTTACCTGATTGAGTAAATAGATAGTCTTTACTCATGTAGACTAATATTGTGCAGACCATGCTCTGTAGGCATCATTAACCTGCACAATGACAGTTAAAAAAAGAACTTAGCATCCCATTAATACTCATTAAAAGTTAATACAGTAACAAATTAGATAATTAGTTTTTGGGTGCTTAGCTCATTCAGTAAACAAAATGCTGGACTAATAGCTTTGAAATAGCTAGGAGTATGGTTATGCAACTCATATTTTGTTTGTGACCCAAACCTGCACAGACAAGAGATTATTAATTTTAATCATTACCATTGGATCATTACCTATTTGATTAAATATATATGTACTCACTCTATATAGATGACCATTGTTATATGTTTTTCTCATCCATGCTCTCTATTCATCTCAAATATGCACAGTGAGTGCCATTTAACCTGCACATTTAATATTTGGCATTAGTTACAAATATAATAGCACAGAACACAAGAGTTACAAATATAACAGCACAGAACACAAGAGTCTCAATATAAGTCATTCACAGTTATTATTTTAACAAATTACAGAGTCTATTTGGGGTTACTTATCTCAGTTAGTAAATAGCATGAACACATCCCATAACAGTTTTGTTCTTATTATTATCCAACCCATACTTTGTGTTTCACCCAAACCTGCACACACAAAATAATCTCTCTTAGTTATATAAACACAATATGTTTTATTTTGTGTTAGCAAAAATAGATCAACTGATAGATATTATGTATCTCAAACATTCACAAACACTAAACCCTAAAGTAAACTTAGCCTAATGTACCTTTCTAATTCTGTAAATGTTTACCTTTCTAAATGTGTGTGTGCAATTTGGTGATTTTTGGGTGGCAGCAAGGATTGTGTTCATTGATGATCCTGAGTGGTACTATGCTTCGTGTAGAACAAAGGGTTGCAACAAAAAGCTGAAAATGAAAGGAAAGTGGCTGTGGTGTAGTACCTGTGACAGGAATTGGGGCGATGGAACCCTGAGGTACAGAGTTAAAGTTAGGGTGGTGGACTTGGATGGGAATGCTCCTTTCCTCCTATGGGACAGGGAGTGCCTTGATCTACTTGGTGTTAGCGCAGATGATTTGAATTCTACCCATACTAAGGTACTAAATGTTGTTTACTATACCAAGTGTTAACTAATATACAAATTGTATAAATTTCCTATGTACACAATCTTTAAACAATAAATTAATTATTTGCACGGCTGAAAGGGGATACCTAAGGAGATTGAGACTCTGATTGGATTGAATCTGCTCTTTGGAATTGCTGTTCGCAAAGAACAATTCCAAAACTTCCTCAATGCTTTCCCTATTATGAGGATCATCACTGATGAAAAGATCGTAGAAAAGCATGCACCAGAGCTAATTGGAGTTAGGGACAGGGATCTAAGTTCAAAGTTGGAGTTGGAGCTTACAGATGAGGATCTATGGGATCTAGAGGTATAATTGGGTTTACAATTTATACTAATTACTTTATAAATGCAAATTTTAAGTACTTACAGTTTCAACTCTCGATTTTTAAGGAAAATGACCAAGCAAATGAAGCTGAAAGTCCTCTACAAGTTGTTGCACAGAGGCTGAATGCAGAGAACACCTTAGAGAATGGAACAGTCAAGAGATCCCTCATTGATGAATTTTAAAGCACACAAAGTTCTAAAAAAAAGCAAGGAAGCTGTGGTCAAAATTGAGAAATAAGCAGATTTGTTATGAGTATAATGAGTGGGATGTGCTCTATTAAACCTTTTTTTTTTTTTTTACTTTATGAATGCTTTTATGAGGACACAGTTGTGGTGGATTCAAACATTGGACACTGTTAAAGATGGTTTTATGAATGCTCCTGATTTAAGAAGGTTTTTAAATCATGTTATTTCTAAGGCAATTGTTTTATCCCTTCTGGAAAATGTTTTTGTTTTATTTTTTGTAGGTACTAAAGAGGACTGTTATTCCACATAAACCAGGAGCAGATTTTCTTCAATCACATGATGGAAAAAGACAATGCAGAAGTGATTCAACATGAAACAAAAGAAGTTGAACATAACGTGATGGAAAAAGACAATGCAAATTTGATGACACATAAAGCAAAAGAAGATGATCATCACATGAAGGGAAAAGACAATGCCGATTTGATTTCACATAAAGCAAAAGAAGATGAACATCACATGATGGAAAAAGACAATGCAGATAGTATAGCATATGGATATAGTTTCATCTATAATTTGTTAATGTAAAACATTACTTCCAAAATTAATCTAATTTTTTTTTTTGTTTTTAGCATGCAGATTAAATTTTGGTTATACATTGTTATTTTAAGTTAAGGTATACAGTTTATTAAGATAAATATAATCTAAATCTTAGTGATTACATATAATTTTACATGTTCTATTCCTAAAAATTTAAATACTGTAAATATGAACTACTATTTTTTTTATTTAATCCTAACAGCACTTCCATCACTTCCATCACTTCCATCAATATTAATGGCTTAACGTCTTTGTTACTACTAAAACTGTTTTAAGTTTGATCAATTAAGACACAATTCATGTTAGAATGGAATCAAAAACACCATTTTGATTAAAAATGTAATATAACTTAATCATATAGTTATTACAATAATCCTAACATAACGAAAAACAAATCACATGAACATCTGCGTAATATTTTCAGTAAACCTGAAATTAGGAACATGAGAACACTAATACTCTATTAAGTAAATAGACAAATTGATTTAAGCATATATGTATTTCAATAATCCTAACATAACGAAAAAAAATAGATCACATGGTTATCTGGCTAATATTTTCAGTAAACATGAAATTAGGAACATGAGAACACTAATACTCTATTAAGCAAATAGACAAATTGATTTAAGTTGAGTTCAGCAAGCATAGTATAATGGATATCAAAATATACATCACAATTCTTACTATTGAATTATAGTGAATGCTAATTATTGAATTAACACTTATCTTTTTGTATGCAAGTTCAACTCGAATTGACATCGTGCATTATAAGAAGTCATTAGGGCCACAGATATGTTGAAAACAATTTGCAATATAAACTCTCTTCAAAATCCTTGGAACCACCAGAGATTTTGTGGCATCTTGCCTGCATTTTAGTCAACAATTATTAAATTTCCAGCATGTGACATACAAATGTATATATAGAGATAAGCAGGTAATTAGAATGTACATTGTCAGGGACTAATGGATGATTAGGCACTTACCATGTATTGACACCAACTTTGTATATCTGAAGCCTCCTCAAATGCCTTAAGATGAAAGTACAGGTTGTCATACAGATCCCACACGTGATGTCTAGATCAAGGTAGTATAAAAAAAATATAAGTTACAAACAATGCAATAATGACAAACTCGGTAACTAACAATCTATATCAAATTAGATTATACACCATTGGGTAGACTTAACACTTATCTTTGAGCCTTGCTAAGCAACTGTAAGTACCAAACTGGATACCATTGGTACTTACTTAGTCAAAACGTTTCAACTTTTTTAAGCAATCCCTTTTGTTTTAATGTTTTGCCCCCACTGAACAAAATTTCTAGGTCCGCCACTGTACATATATACATATATATATATATATATATATATATATATATATATATATATATATATATATATATATATAGAATTGCACTCAAGTGCGAATGCTTCGCACAGGAGCGAAATAGGAATGGATTCTGTTCGTCCACGTGTCCAAGTCTAATGGTTGAGAAACACTGATTTTTTTAAAAAGCGCGGTTGCATTTTCGTAAATAATTGAACATCCAAGTGCAAGTAAAATGTATTACAAGTGCATGTAAATTATATTATAGGTTCAAGTAAAAATTTACACTAAGCATCAATACTAAGTGCACCTATAGTTCTAAGTAGTTGCACCTATAGTTCTAAGTAGTTGCACACATAGTTATAAGTAGTTGCACCTAGGTGCATGAATGTTTGCGAGTGGTTTTCAGGGGTATTACTACCCGCTGAACTCAGATCAATGAATGTTAACAAGACAAAATTACATGCACTTATAGGTGAAAGTAGGTGCACCTATAGTTATAAGTAGTTGCACCTATAGTTATAAATAGTTGCATAGATAGTTATAAACACACCCAGGTGCATGAATGTTTGCGGGAAGTGAATGCTAATAAGGTGAAATTACATGCAATTATAGGTGAAAGTAGGTGCACTTGTAAGTAATTTTACTTGCACTTCGATGTTCAATTATTTACGAAAATGCCACCGCATTTTTTTTAAACTATTAGATCTGGACACGTGTCGCGCGCTGATTCGTTCGCATATTCCTTCCTGGGCACTTTTTCGCACCTGAGTGCATCCATATATATATATATATATATATATATATATATATATATATATATATATATATATATATATATATATATATATCTACATATATTAAAGCAAAATAATAAGAGCAAAAAACTCCCGCCCAACAGCAACGGCGTCGTTTTGACATAGCCGAAATATTTATGGTATTTGCGTCGGAACACGAAAGGTTTGTGCAGTGTAATAGGTAAACTTTATAGAAAACCTACATTTTTAAAAATATCTACGGTAGATCACTCTCTAATCCAGTGGGATTAGAGAATGTATTTAATTCCATCACTTCCCCATATGGAACATTGAGCCCACTAACCCATACATATTCTCTAGGTATTAATTTCTAAGGAAATAGTACGAAAGGTCATCAGACCTTATATATACAGCACATATACAACATAAAATATTCTACTGTCATTCTCATTCTTCTTCAGACCTTTCGTTATTTCACACAAAAGCTGCACCGGTCACTCTCATTCTTCTTCAGACCTACAAGAAGATGTTTATCCTTGCTAGCCAAATATCCCCAATGAACACCAGGCAGGCTCTTAGGCTACGGGTGGTGAGAGCATATTAGATTCCTGAGAGAAATGATCACACGAAGATTAGATCAAAAGAAATAGTTTTTCATGATGAAGAGGTAAATGCTATTTACAAATATATATTCAAATACATCAACAGGTTTAAGTCACAGGTTTCAGTTTTTACAGTTCCTATTTATGATATATATTTAGACAGTTCCTATTGATTTTATAGGGTTCCTTCCTTCATGCTCATGTACCCAAAGAATATGTGGAAAAGTACCTAAGCTATTTTTCTGAGGGTTCAGTTTACGCTATAAAGAATTTTTGTGTTATCATCAATTTTTATTCATACAAGACCAGTCCACAGAAGTAAATGATAAAATTCAATTATCAGACTATGGTCAAGGATTTAAAGAATGCAAAATTTCCGATGAAAATGTATCGTCTGAAGTCATTTAGAGATATCAAATCTAATGAAGGCCTTGATGAGAAACAACTCTTTGGTAATCAATTGATCTCTTATTTTCTAATTTTCTAATTAATTGATATTGTTACTATTAATTTGTACTCTAATAATGCACTATTCTGTAGATGTGATTGGTCGAATGATTGAGATTCACTGCCCACAGGAGAAACTGATTAATGGGAAGAACTCCAGGCTGATTGACTTCACCATTGAAGACACTGAGTATTTTTTTTTTTATTCGTTTCCTTCTATTTCTACTCTATTTTTAGATTTTCTGTTCTTCTAATCTCTTATCTAACATTTTGCAGTGGTATACAATTGATGTGTACTTTGTGGGACGAACACGTAAGCAAGATCGAGGCATTCTACAATTCTACCACACAAGAGGCATTATTGGTGTTGATCCAATTTTGTAGGGCTAGGGTGTGTTTAAAAAGTAAGTAAATTAAAAGTTTTAGTTTCTGGCTAAGTTATATATATATATGTCCACATTTACCAATAATGGATTGTCTAATGTTTACTACCATAATTTCTAAAGGTGGGGATGTTAAGCTTTGTAGCTCCTATGATGTAACACAACTGTTGTTCAACCAGGAATCTCCACCATTTGAGGAGTTCAGAAAAAGGTTAGTCAATTAAATTTATTGCACTACCTATTAGATTGGTACCTAAGTCTTAGTGTTTTTTTTTTCACAGTATCAGCCATGAACAGACTCCAATGCGAAGTATTATTTCGCAATCAAGTTTTAAGGAATGTAGCTCCTATTCAGTTTCCCTATCTGGTGATATTGAGGTCCGTACTATCAGTGAAATATACAGAGACAAGGAGGTAATATTTATTTAAAACATTTTAGTTATTACCTTAGTAGATATACTGTGATCTCTACAACTATAATCTGTGAAGATATCAATGCCAACTGCTTCATTTGTAATCTGCATTTAATAATATGCATGAGATTTGGAAAAAAAATATTTTAAAAATTAAAAGTTAATAGACTAATACTCTGAAATGTTATTTGGATTCTTACCTGATTGAGTAAATAGATAGTCTTTACTCATGTAGACTAATATTGTGCAGACCATGCTCTGTAGGCATCATTAACCTGCACAATGACAGTTAAAAAAAAGAACTTAGCATCCCATTAATACTCATTAAAAGTTAATACAGTAACAAATTAGATAATTAGTTTTTGGGTGCTTAGCTCATTCAGTAAACAAAATGCTGGACTAATAGCTTTGAAATAGCTGTGAGTATGGTTATGCAACTCATATTTTGTTTGTGACCCAAACCTGCACAGACAAGAGATTATTAATTTTAATCATTACCATTGGATCATTACCTATTTGATTAAATATATATGTACTCACTCTATATAGATGACCATTGTTATATGTTTTTCTCATCCATGCTCTCTATTCATCTCAAATATGCACAGTGAGTGCCATTTAACCTGCACATTTAATATTTGGCATTAGTTACAAATATAATAGCACAGAACACAAGAGTTACAAATATAACAGCACAGAACACAAGAGTCTCAATATAAGTCATTCACAGTTATTATTTTAACAAATTACAGAGTCTATTTGGGGTTACTTATCTCAGTTAGTAAATAGCATGAACACATCCCATGACAGTTTTGTTCTTATTATTATCCAACCCATACTTTGTGTTTCACCCAAACCTGCACACACAAAATAATCTCTCTTAGTTATATAAACACAATATGTTTTATTTTGTGTTAGCAAAAATAGATCAACTGATAGATATTATGTATCTCAAACATTCACAAACACTAAACCCTAAAGTAAACTTAGCCTAATGTACCTTTCTAATTCTGTAAATGTTTACCTTTCTAAATGTGTGTGTGCAGTTTGGTGATTTTTG